TTTAAAAGAACCAAATGTGTCTAATGCACATCCTCGTTTCGCTTGATGTGTGAAACTCGCGCAGATACGCAGAAATTTCCCCATCGTTGTTCGAGCGAGAAAACGAAACTGTAAATGGCGTATTCTCGTCGGAATAAATTGCGGAGCGATTGTTCTCGCGTTTTGTTCGCGCTTTGCACGTCGAATAAAAATGGCGCGCAATGGACAACACTGACCGCGCGCGTTACCTACCTACCTTTCGACGACGCGAGCGAGTTTCAATTTAATTTGTTCCTTAGAGGCATTTTCAGACCCACTCGTCTGTTTCACCTTTCTCTCTCTCTCTCTCAATGCGCTTACATATAGTAGCCTCTCCGATTAATCGCGCGGAATTAAAAGCGCGAAAAAAGCTGAAGAACGCGGGAGAAAAATGTAATTCAATTAATCCCGCATCGCGCGCCCGCGCGCCCGCGCGCACGCTTGCAATGCTTTCAACGATGATAATTATTCGAGAAACGCGAATGAGTCTTTACGGAAAACTGATAAAGCTTCTGGATTGCGCTTCTCTCTGTGCCGTTTCGAAACGTTTCATTTGCAGTATTGTAATCCTTTCTGTGAAACTAATGAATTCCTGGACGCGCGCGCGCGCGCGCGCGCGGATATTTCATTGAAATTGCACAAAGCACGGATACTATTGAAATATGAACATACACATATCCCGCAATGAACTCGCGTGTGTGCAATACATATCGCGATACCGGATGACACACGCATTGAATTGTGTGCGGCGAGATTTTCACTTACAATCGATATATCGCCAAACAGAAGATTAATAGCGATTAATTAGAGAAAACGGAAAATTCATTAAAAATGCAACGCACATTTTTTTTTATTTCGAAAATAAAATGCGACCATTTCTCTCGTTAAGTGTGTTATAATGATGACCCCTTTTTATTTTAACGACGATATGAAAAAAAGTGTAAAAACAAAATCATAATCGCTAAAGACTTTCTCGGGTTCTTGTTCCAAAAGGAAGCAACAGTCCCGCTACGTGTTGTCATCAGATATTACACGATGAAACACGCTCTCACACACGCTCTGTCACAAAAGCGCTAAGTAACGGCTAGACCGGCGTTGATGAAAGTGGCGGTCTTATGCGCGTGCGCGCATCTTTAAACCACACTTAAATAATGATGTCAATTTAGCAACTAACGCGCACGGTTTCACACACATACATACGGGTGATATGCTCCGGTTTTGACGTAGATTTCGATACGGATCGTTATCTCAAAGCTGCGCTCGCTGCGCGGCAAATTGAATTTTGTGCGCTTGATAATTAATGCCGAATGCTTGCTAGATTTAACGGTTGTAATATCGGTTTATGAAAGTTATCGTCATAAATTTATATGAGAGTCGAGAATTAATTTGTACGATTTTCGGAACTGCACTTAAAACCGATATAATCCTAACATCGGCGGAACACGTATAATCCAAAGTTGAAGCGCTTTCATTGGCACGACGGGCTATATATTTCTAAATTACGTTTGCATTGCACGGGAAAAGCTCCCGCGACGTTTTAGGAGGGTTGCTGCTCTCACATCTCCTCCTTTGTTAGTTACTTGGCGCGAAGTTTCGAATGAATAAGTTTAGATAGTGAAGTCGCGCGTGAGTTGTGTTTAATTACAACTTTCTTTATTATTCGTTCGACTCAATTCCGAAAAAAGGAAGCAAGTCGCGTATATTGCAGCGATCGACACACTTGTTGCAACGTTTTTTTTCTTTTTTTTTTTTTTTTCCCTACTCTAATGCGCCTTCCGTGCGTGCTACACCGTAATTTACGAAAATTACTGAATCAGGAACGCGCGACCTGGAGGAAGGGATCGAAATCCGAGGTTTCTGCGAGATTAAACAGGTGGTTTCACCGAGACGTTTCTGACGTATCGACCACTTCGGACACATAAAATAATCAGATAAAAAGTCGTATTTGAGCTACGCGATTTATTGATTTCACATTTTTGTAACACGGAAAAATCCGAGTCTTATGTGACGATCGACTCGACGATTGAATAAAAACGCGCGATCGAAAAATGATCTTGTGATCTGTGAAACAATAATAATAACAGCTGAAAAATCTCTTTCTGTAATTGAAAAATCAATTGAGTTTCCGTCGTATAATGTAAAATCATTTTGTTATTTAATCGGGAAAATATGTATAATAGTAATATCTTTAAACAAGACGATAATGACGCGAGCAATGTAAGATAATGACATTACAAAATATTTGCACGTGAAAACCAATCGAAAGGCGATTAACCTCTGATTGAATTAGCTGCGTTAAATGGATCGGATATCACGGTACGCTATTTCGCGCTCATCTAACTCCTTTTTAAACCATGTTCACCGATCGCGATATGTGTTCGACGTTCGACCGTATGATATTCTCGAACTATCCCGCCGCGAGGATAAAAGTCGGCATTTTACCCCGTGTAATTGGATATTAAAAATTTCACAGCCAATTAAAGACATCGGCTTCGAAGCGACGAGGAGCGATCGAGAGCCGCGGCCTAAATATCGCCCCGATAAATTTTCTCTCTTCAACGCGAAATTATCCGCCTTCTCTCATTATATGCGTCTCTCGCTGTCAAACCCAATCGGGCCGTAATAAATTGCGCCCGGCGCGAAACGTTTTAAGCGTTTAATACGTACTGTCCAACGATCTTCTCTTCCGCGCGGGTCGCGGGCGCTTCCGAGTTGAACGAAAATATTAAGGGACATGTCATCGCAGCCGGCGCGTTTTCATTCGACTGACATTTCACCGAGAATGAAAGAGAGAGAGAGAGAGAGAAAGAGAGAGAGAGAAGTAAACGCCCCGGAAAGTACCGTTAAATGGTTTAACTCGGTGCGACCGTTGATTGGCGTAGAAGTTAACCGACTCCACGAAACTTGCTCGTCCATGTCCACGCCCTGGAGAGCCTATTGCCTTCGGGGACATATGTCGGACAAACTTGTCGAGATTGAAAGTTAGGGACGGTTACAGAGGGGAATATAAGCTGTACCATCTTACACGGTGGTTGCACATTGAGCGAAGAACCTCCATCTCACAAGAGGAGACTTCAAAAGCTGTAGTGTCTCTCGCGCGAAGACTTCCCACTACTCCATCTCTTCGTTGAAATGTCAACGAATGATTTTTTTTTTTTTTTTTTTTTGCGTAAGTAAGTCACAAATACGCGCACACATTGAAATTAAATATAAATCTGTAAAATAAAACTGTCGCGAAAAAAGAGCTTGTCGTTGCGAAATATAATGATACGCGCCGTATATAGACAAAACAGTTTCCTCGCGCAATAATATTTCAGAAAATATAGAAATATTCTTTGAACCAGGCAAAGAACTTGGTTATCCTGTATGTGTGTTCAGAAGAGCGCGAAGCCCAAACAATGCGTTGGCGGTGGTCGGTGCCATTACAATGATTAGGACGGACAAAAGATTCGCAAACATCTATCTTATTTGTTGTCTGGATAATAGCAGAAAGAAAGTCGATGTAAAACCAAACAGGCTTCATTCGCAACATAATACACAATCCTTTCCTCTCTTTTGACGCTTAGGTTGCTAAGAATATTTGTAATTTTCTTTTTTGAACATCCGAGTTTAGTTCCGCGAGCGATTTCTCTCGTCGTATCGCTTTCGAGATCGCTCTCTCTGAAACTGTTTTGGAAAATGAGATTGTTCAACAACGTCTGAAATTACTTCCGAAGTATTTTCAATGCGCGCGTCTGATGAGCGCGCGATGATATCGACAACTTCAGTTGTAGTTTCGTCGTAATTTCTCGAAAAACAAGAAAACTTGCGTACATACACGCGTTGCGACAATGTGTTCAGATTGTAAATGTGCAGATAAATAAATATCGCACGTAATCTCGCGTGAGCGACGAGAGCAAGACGTACGCGATAAAAGAAACGAAATGAAATATCGTAAGAAGTTCCGCGGTCTGACGCCCGATTTATATTCACGGCGTTTCAAGGTCTGCCGAGGAGGTTACAATTCTCGAAGATGTACACAAGCAAATTTACATTACCTCGAATACCCGAGCCTCAAATCTCACGTCATTTGTATCGGTGATCTTCTCCTCGACGCGCGATGTTGAAGCGAAGTCCGATAAATTGCGCTCTAGAGTCGAGAATGTATTACGTCGTGATTCAATCATCATCCGGTCGCGCGACACGTGTAATTTAATCCGCAAACGATATCGAGAAATTAATCCCTTCAACTTGCCGGAGACATTTCTGATCGTAATAGCGTTAATTAATATCGTCTCGCTTTATATACACACTATGGATATGTTTTCGCGAACTCGGTGACACACATACACAACAACTGGAGAGATCGTGTATGGACGCCGGCGAATATCACGTAACGAGAGAGTCTTGAGAAGGATAACACGTGACGTCTCAAGCCCCCCTCGGCCGCGCGATCTTGGGAGAGGGTCACTGACCTCGGCCGCGCGGCCTTGGTGGGGGAGGGGGTCACTGACCTCGGTCGCGCGACCTTGAGGGGAGTCACTGACCTCGGCCGCGCGGCCTTGGTGGGGGGAGGGTCACTGACCTCGGTCGCGCGAGCTTGGGGAGGGTCACTGACTTCTGTTACAGGAAGCTGCGGTGTGATAAGTCGTTGAATCGCGTGAGGATCTCACATAACAGGTGGTAATGGGCATGTCTGTTCACCTTAACGCTTCCCTTCATGCGTTTCACGCGGCAAAGGATTTTCCTTCGATGACACAAAAACCCCGATTAGGGTCACGTTTATCTTCACCGTTTACCACGCCGTAATACACTCGGACTCTATCTCACGACGATTTCTCGAGCTGTTTTTTTCTTTCTGGTTTATTTTCAACTTTATCTTACACGTATTTTTTTTTTTTTTTTATTACCAATTTTTCGATATTTATATTTGTAGAAATTATCCGTTTTATACGAATTTTATTGAATATTCGTTAATAATTCTGATATTATTTCTGTTCCAGGTACGTAAACTCGACGAAATTACAGGCGTTATCTTTAGCTGGCTCTTGTCGGGAGTTCGTGCGTAAGTGTATATTTAAACTGTTCCGTCCACCCTGTGCAGTTGAGCTTATATTTCGACATTGCTCGTGTAAGAACGTCTCCTCATCTTATTTCCGACCGGGATAATCTACACGAAATCCCCATTGTTCCGATCTTTTTTTCATTTTATCCGCACTTTTTTGTTATCTCTCGTATTGTCTTGTATCTTGCCCTTTCGTTCGACGTTCAGTTTGATAACAAGCTACGGTTAAATGAGAACATAACGAAAGAGAGAAAACATACACACACACACACACACAGAAGAAGCTTTAGTCGCCGCGATGTCTGGAGGAAAAAGCCGGCGCTGTCATATACCCCGCGTAAGGATAAAAGGATCGCATCTCCATTGATGATTTGTGTGCGTTTCTATCTCGGTAAAAGCCCGAATGAACGGGAACATAATCTCCGAAGCTTCTTCGGAAGGTCCGCGAATTGTTGTTACGCAAACGTTGTATCGTTGAACGCTCACTTCGATGAGTATTTTTTCTTCTTTTTTTTTTTTTTCGTGTATCGTGCGGTTCCAGGAGCAGCAATCAGTCGCGCCTTCATTATCGGTAGCTTCGTTGTAACAAATGAGGAAGTTTAATGGCCGCGCCGTAACGTCAAGTACCTTAATAACATTTCGCAGAGACTATTCCCGTCGTACTTGGCGCTAATTCCCTCCTCCCTCTTCTTCCCGCGCGCGTCGGCAAACTCCTACCTCGGGACTCGAGTTACCGCTCGGAGCGCGATTACCTTCTCTGAGGAACAAGGAAAAATACTTTCGAACGTAACGGTTTCTTTCGTTATATTCGTTCGCGAACGAGTTGCGAACTACACGTTTCCGTGAAGTTTTTTATCGATAAAACTTAACTTGTCGCGCGATTTTCATACTCTTTTCCGTCATTTTGTCGGCGCCGCGCGTGGTAGTTTGCGCGTAGAGCGTTTTCTCCGCGTCGACTTTTTATCTAACGCGGAAGAGAGACCGTTAACGTAAAAGGTGCCGTTTAGTTTTTCGACTCTCACACTTATATATATATAGCAGTAGTACACACACGTTCGCAAAAGAACGCATTCAATTAAAACATCGATTACGCGATTGGATTCTAACACATCCATTGAATGCAATCGCAGTATTTTACAAAGTGTCGGATCAACTTGTCAAATATTCTTTGTGACTGTACGTGGAAAACGAGTGAGAGAAAAAAGAGAAAGAGTGAAAGAGAGAGAGAGAGAGAGAGAGAGAGAATCGCGACGATAACGTCTGACTATAACAGATAGTCCAGCTTTATTGCGTTTATCGGATATTAGTTCTTTGTTAGCGATACAACAGAGCGATTTTGTTGCTCGCGAATTTCTGAATTGTCAGTTTATTGGATCCTGCTGGTCCTCTCGCGTAGCTTCCAACGAAAATATAAATATTATATTTTACGTGTTAACAGTAAAAAAAAAAACGCTGTTTCTTTTTTTTTTCTCCTTCTCGTGCTTTTCCTACGATGCAGTTTTCAGTCGCGCGATTTTTGAGATGGAAAATCTTGGCGACGATTATTGGAAAGTTAAAGCAATAGCTCTCTCTCTCTCTCTCTCTCTCTCTCTCTCTCTCTCTCTCTCTCTCTTTCTAAACGTACGATTTGCTTAATCGATGTTTCCACTAACATATACATATGTACACGCACACTCGATCAAGCCTGATTCACCGACGATGCGGGTGGAAAAATGCGACGCCTCTACTTGCTCCGCGAGCGCGATCCCGCGTTCGCGGGCTCTTTCCAAACGACCGCATCCATTATATACCGCAATACACAATCGCGCGCCGCGTTTACATGCTGCAACGTATCGAAACTCAAATAACCGTTTTATCGGGGGAAAGCGCGCGCCGGCTCTCTCTCTCTCGCGACCGGCCGCAGAAATCGCTCGTTATCGTCGGATATTGCATTTGCGGAGCGTACACTCAAAGAGGAATCGCGAACCACACCGTGAACGCAGAAATACCGACGCCCCGCCGCCGCCGCCGCCGCCGCCACCGCCGGTTGTATGGTCTCCCTATTCTCGGCAATCGAGTTCTCAAGTTCCATATCTACTGCTGGATGGTTTGCCGGTCAGGTCTCAACGGCGTGTCCGACGTGCGCTGTGTAACGAAAGGACCCACCTACACGATCCACTCGCGATCTCCGAAGAAGAAAGTGCATAATAAATCTTCCGACCTCTCTTCTTCGTCCATCCGGTGTGGCGCGGACCTCACGGATGGTTTTCGCGGAAAATGAGATTTCTCCCCAAGACGCGGCGCAGCGCGGCGTCTCGCGCTTTCAAAATTCAAAAGGCGCCGTGATGTTCCGTTTCGAGAAAGAAAAAGAGAAGAGAGAAAGAAAGAGAGAGAGAACACGGCTGAGATGGACTCTGGAGGGCGAAAAGTTGGAGAATCAGTTCGTGTTTAAAAGAGAGAGCAACTTTCTTCGTTGCTTCCGGAGGGGTGAACGCTCTTTCTGGGCTCTACAACAGTTCCCTGCTATTGTTGCACGCAAAAGAAGACGCTCCCTCTTTGTCGTATTTCTCGCGAATACCTATATATTTTATGCTCGCGAGCTTACGCAACGATTTCTCTATATTATTTCCTCGCAGCTTTGCTTGACGGCGATATCGAATAATCACATGCGCTTTCTTGAAAACTGCTTCAAATCTCTACGATCTTTCTCTTTGTTGAATAAGAGAAATACCAGTCTTCGCTTTATTAAATGCATTGTACAGCGTAGTATGCAATTTTTAATGTAATGCAAATTCTCTCCTATATAAAAAAATCCATTTGGATCGCAAAGTGCGCGTTTTCGGAGTCGAATGTATCGCATCTATTGTTAGTTATCTCTTTTCCGCGTTGTCGATTGGTTGGTTGGTTGATCGAGTCGAGCCGAGTCGAATCGAATCGATAAGATCGGAGAGAGTAAATAATGACAGAAAAGCGATTTTGATAGTTCGTCGTATACGTGGAGAAAATTAAAAACGTGATTAAAATAAAGTCACGTGACAGGAAAAAGTAGAAAAACAACACGTGACTAAAGTAACGTGTCTGTAATTTATGTTATATATAATATTATACGTATAATTTATTTATATATTATACATATAATTTATTATATATTTATAATATTAATACAAGGTTGCGCGACCTTGGCGGAATCACTGACCTCGGTCGCGCGACGGGGGCGGGGTCACTGACTTTGGTCGCGTGATTACGATATATATATATATATATATATATATATATATATATATATGTGCGTGTGTGTGTGTGTGTGTGTTATATAAATATAGAATATTTAATATAATATATATAATATTCTTTTTTTTACTCTTCTCCCTGTAACGCAACTTTAGTATTTTTCTATTCTTCCTTTAGTCACGTGTTGTTCCATTCTCCCCTTTTTCTTTTATTTTTTGAGTTTGATTTTCATGCGTTATTTCTGACATCTCTCATATGTACATCATGCGTATTATATTGTTTGTAAGACGTATATATACTAGCTGTCATCGCGATGACAGGTTATGTTCAGTGACACTACACATTAAAATAAAAACAATACTAGCGTGCGTCTGTGTTGTGCTAGTAAAAAAAAAAAAAAAAAACAATCAGAAAAATACACATTAGTTTCCAACGTGTTAATTTCCTTTTTGAAATTTTACACCGCGGAGAGAATTATTTGCACAGTACTGGTATCTGCCGATTGACGTTTTCAACAAAATGTTTGTATGAAAAACGTATAAATTCAATACGAGAGCAAGTAATTCTGCATGAAAAATTCACTTTAATGGAACGTGCTCCGTCCAAATTTACGCGCGTTTTATCATTTTGATTAAAAATCACCCGAGTCTCTTATCAAGCATCGCAATCGTAATGGAAATGATATTCAATGAAAAAAAAAAAAAAAAAAAAACGAAAAGGGGAGAAGAACTAACAAAAAGTGTTCGATAACGACTGTACCTACTTTTCGAGCGAGAACAAATATCTTGATTTAACATTGGCTCGTGACAATGGAAAAAAAAAACGAGGAAGAGTGGCCGCGCTGTCGATTTCTTCCTCTTGGCAGAAAGGGAGTTTACGCTTTAGTAACAGAACGTCGCGCAATTCGTCTTCGGTGTCTGTCCGAGGAAAGGTAAAAAGTTTGAATAGGAAGGAAGATATATCGTTTCCATTACGGGATATATCAATGTTGCTTTCTAATTCTTTTTATGATACGTACATATCGCACATCTTTACGAAAATTTTAAAACATATAAATTTTGCCATTTTCTCGAAACATGGTACACAAAAAAAACGATTGATCGGGATATTTTCGCAATTTTGCTCACGTATAGAAACGTTAGTTCGTTTCGCTTGCTAAAATTAAGGTACATCCTACATACAGAGCTGTGCTGTACGGTATCGCGTCTAATCGGGTGAGCGCATGTTTCTAGTAACGATCCGTGTGGTTGTTTGCTCTTGTTTAATGAACGTAATGCGGATTACGCTGGTTTTGCCTAATGAACGTAGTACGAGTTGTCGTTCCTGCTTGCCAAGAAGATTTCTCTCAATCTGTCTTATACCGATAGCTTAATTTTGCCTTAATTGTATTTACATACCGAACGTGCATTCTATATTGTACCATGTGTAAATTAAATAAAAACGTAATTTAAGTAAAAATGTATATAGTATGAATCTAAATAAAAAATCAAAATTTTCAAAATGTTATTTGAAAACAGAGAGAGAGAGAGAGAGAATCAAGGCTTTGTCAGTGAGCTATATCTTTATTTGATGTTACACATTATTTAATATTCACAATAATAATCAAGTGTTTATGTCTCATTAACGCGCAAACGCAAAGCGTTTAATGAAGTTACGCTCAGCCATTCCACGCCGCATATAGATTTATATCGTTTATGTGATCAAAATGTAAACACGCTAAAGCACACTTCTTGTATGACAGGGCAGTTTCAGTTAACGAATAAATCCCTGAACTTTTGATCAACTTGTTG